GAATTTATTTGTTTATGCAGGTTTTTCCAATGCAATTTGCTTATTTCATTTTTTAATTATAGCCAAAATTTTAACCTTTTTAAGGAGATATTAGTTTTAGAAATTTTACCTTAAGATTTTATACTATAGCACATTTCTAACATGTTTAACGAATTACATGTCATTTATTTGAATTCAAATTTATTTTAATGACTTAGTATTTACTAAAAAGATGTAATTTTTTTTTTAAAAAAAAGTTGTTATATGGATTTGAATGATTGTTTTGAATTCTTAGAATTTTGTGCATTTGCAATGTACCTAAGTTAGTAGCGAGCGAAGCGAACTTGGATTGTGAAGCAAACCATATAAGATTGCGTAGCAATTTTCGGGAGTTGGCGAGCGTCAGCGAGCAGGGGGCGCAGCCCACTAGTTATTACATAAAGGCAGAGATGGCAACTTGCTCCGGATAGAAAATAAATATTTTAAAGTGGTAGTTTATTAATTGTGATTCTAGGTTTAATAAGTGCAATTTAAAAGATTTTTATCCACCACTATTTCTAAATAATTCGTAGGCTTATATAAATCACCACTCTTCACGCAAGCAAAAATAGTCAAAAATTTGCAAAATTTAGATTGTAGCTATTTATCGTTTTTTTTTTTATTATTTCTGTGTGTCCGGAGCAGTTGGCATCTCTGTAAAGGAAAGATAATTGTATATATTGAAAACAAAATGCTCTGGGGGAAATATCGACATTTCAAAATATTTATTACAGCGCTTATGGATTAAAGTTAAAAAGGAAAGTGGTAGGTAAAATTTAATAAAAAATGGAGCAGACTTGTCACTATAGCTACAACTTCAGTAAAACAAATTTCGACCAAGACTTGTACTACTGGTTACATATATAACGAATCAATTACGTTTGTGGTAATCACGAATGGATGGATTATTTCTTTTAAACACTGAGCGGAAACGAAATACTTTTGCTACCACGTTTTAAACATTTTGAAGAATATCAAAAATTTGAAAAACGTAATTTAGTGTGACCCACCTCAACTACCCCTACAACCGAAAACGTTCACACTTTTTCTTTTATAAGAAATCTGATCAGACCACTGTCAAGATGAACCAGTTTGCGAAAGAGCCACGTAACTGGAAATTTAGTAGAAATAAGAGAGTGATAGCAAATTTATGTCTTAATTTTTTTTAAAAATTTATGAATATAATTGGTTTGTCTTATTTACTTGTCCATCACCACAGTTTCATTTCTCAAATATATAAAATAAATTTCAATTACTATTAAAGTAGAACTTTGGTTTCTGAGTGCATGGGAATTTACTTAATTGATTTCACAATAGCAACCAAATTATTAAATAAATCAATTATTGGTTGAATACACACCAATTACAGTTTCAAGAATCATTACTGGTTAAAATAAAGGTCCTAACTCACGGAACCCCTATGACTTTTCCGCGGAATCCCAGGATTCCTTGGAACACCTTTTGAGAAATTCTACATTAGTTAATAAAGGAAAATGAAGGAAGATATATTAAAGGCGCCTTTTCTATCGCAACACGTGGCCACATTTTTTGAGGTGAAGTCTAAGATAACGACGTTTATACGATAAGGTTGGAATTCTAAAATAAGAATTAAATTGCGTCTAATCAATTTAGAATAAAATAAGGCTGAATAGGGGAGATTTTTATCGCACAAGGCAGACAAAAGGAGGCGTTCAAAAACTGATACTTCATCTTTGGAATAAGAATTTCAAGAATCTAAATAAAATTTCGTCTGAAATTGTGAAATAGTGAAAGTTCTTTCCCAAGAGAAAACATATTTGAATTCAGTTTCAATTAATTCCTTTTTATTCAAGTTATTACGAATAAATATGCTATTTTGAAAAAATAATATAACTGCGTAAACATTTTTACTAAATTGACTTCTATACGCATACCCTCCAATAACTACGGAATTTCGTGCAATCAGAAAATATTTTTTCTAGTGATAGAAAATGTAACATATAAATTTTTAAAAAAATTAGAACTAAAAAAAATTTGTCCAAAAATCAGATATAAATAATATAAACAAATGCGTACAAAATCAAATTGAAAAATTGTTTGGTTCCAAATTCGTATAAACGACTTATAAAAATTTTATTTGTTTTAAAAATTTCTGCTTTTGCCAACTGTTTCCGGAAAAAAATTGCGGAAAGCTGAACCGTTTTTGTTTACGCAGGGCAGATAACGATTCACCTTTTGGCAAAATATTTTATAAAGTGGTCGGCAATTAATAACCGAAATTTTCAGAAGGTTTGGTAATTTTGCTAACATTTTAAAAGCTCCACTGTAGGAAAGCTATAACAAAATGGAGTTTTATTTGAGCATCTGAATTATTTATCTGTAGTGATGGAAAAATAACTTGAAATCAAATTTACAAAACAACGAATCATTCATTAAAACATAAACTTAGCTACCGCAAGAAGAAATCTTCACAAAAAGCATGGAAAGTTAACAGCCTAGGGTATGTATACACGCAGTAACCTCATATTTTTATTATGCCTTATCATACTTATCATCATTACAAGCCTTATCATATCAATATTTTTACTATACCTTATATTTTTATTTTAATAATCAGTAACCGCATATTTTTATAACTGTTAGTTATTATTTAAAAATATTGTATTATGAACTTAAATTAAATAGTGCTTGCATTAACTTCTATGGGACAGGGGAGTCTTAAATCCATCTGTTCAAAAATAGAATTAGGATTGAAAAAAAAATAAAAAATCGGTCACTTAAATTTGGGCTTATATTTTTCCCAATGAATTCTCACCTATCTAATCTATGCTTTAATGCGATTTTAATAAATCAAACCACTATTTCCACTCCCATAAATAAACTGAAAAGAAATATTTCGTGTACTAGTTTTATCTTTTTGCCCTAAACGTCGCTACCCTAAAAATGCAAAATTCGCTTCCTGAGAATGTTAAATTTTCTTCCTGAGATTTTTATAATTTTTCATGAACTTGACATTTTAGATTAATAATTAAACTTGGCATTCATGAACTTGACATTTTAGATTAATAATTAAACTTGACATTCATGAACTTGACATTTTTCATGAACCAAGACATTTTACAATATTAAATAATAACATAATAATAAGTGGTTTCAAGTTGTAACCACTACAGCCACCTCACAGTCTACTGACCTCAGAAAGTTCCATTACAAACTATTTAAATAAACATAATGGATGGGATAGGGGCATCACCTCCTAGATCAGAAAGCCTCCACACGGTTTCTTATAAGTAGTCTGCGCAGATTATTGAAAAAGCGAACCGCTTGTGCGCATGAGCCCAAATTATATTTTAAAAGTACTTGAGAGAAATTTATCATATATATTTGAGAATTGAATCTGTAGTGGTTGACAAGTAAATAAAACAAACCAATTATATTCATAAATTGAAAAAAAATTTAGACACATATTTGCTACCACTTTCTAATTTTTAATCGATATCATATTAAATGGTTCCTTAACTAATTGGTTACCTTCATAGTGGTCTGATCGGACGACCTACAAAAAACCGTGTGGAGACTTTCAGTTATAGGAGGCGTTGATAGGGGGAGGTGCCCTGCTCTTTAAATTAAAGGAAAAGAAGTTGTAACCACTAGTACTGTCAACTAATGCGCATTATGTAACAGTTTTAATAAGTTGATATTAAAACTTATAGAATAAAGGTAAATACGTACACTTTTAAAAAGGGTCACTAGGAGATAGAGGCAATGAGGTTGAATTTTATATGATACTTTAACTTTTTGATAAATAATGATGGGAAAAAATTACCTAAAATGAAAAATACTGAACTAAAAATAACTTTATTTAGTCATACTTTGAATTAACATTGATTATATATATATGATTAAACTAACAATAATTAAAGTAAAAGCAAAGTAAGTCTGTCAAATTAGTAACTACTACATTTAAGTTACCGTTTTTTATTTAATTACAACTTGATTCTGATTTTGTACGAATGCTTTTCTGAATCACCCGTCCCCAAGGGGTTAAACTTCGTTATCACTAGAAAATATTTTTTTACAAAGTGGAGCTAGTTATCATCTATCGTTGTTTTATTTTTAGAGGGACGCTACAGTCAACTCAAAATGCAATAACGAAAGCTAAATTCAATCAATAGAAAATAAATTTAGCGACTTTTTTGGTATATTTTTCTAGATATAAATTTTTGTATCAAATATGAATAATTTGCAATATAAATTTTGATGGTAGTAATGATTGAGTAATTAAATAAATAAAGATGAATTTAGTTTTTACCATTTCTTATATTTTAGTAGCCTGCGCCATCCTTGTTCCTTCTTTTTTCTCCTTTTAACTATTTTTTATTTTGCGTTCTGAACTCTTTAAATAGGCTATTTAAACAAATGTAAACATTAAAAATCTTTAAATATAGTAAGAAATTTAAATTTTCTATAATTTTAAATATAAAATTTTATTAACCCCTATCGATATTTTAAATATTAGTAAAACTTATCATCTTAGTTTTCAATTCTCAAAACTATCATATTGCCTTCTTAAACTAAAGGATTGCAAATGAAAATAAAATATGTGAAAATGAAAATGAATGCAATTTTCAACAGTTTAGCTTTCTTTTTAAAACAAAGCAAAGGTATTAAAGAAAACTTATCAATTAGAAAATATTAAGTTATTGTTATCAAAATAATCATTTGTATTATTATCTACTAAAAAATAACAGTCGATACTCGACAGATTAAAAACAATAAAACTTTATGATACTGTTATCATTAATTTCTATGAAAATCTCTATTATTTTTATTGTCAATTCCGTTGAGGCTTTGGACTAACCAGTTTTAAAAAAGGCTTAAATCTTTCGTTAAATCAGGCGATGCATTCTTATTAAAACGCACCAAATGTAACCCGAAGTTAAGAATGTTTAAATTACATTTTTCAAATATTATTTGCATTTTATGTGTTCTGNAAAAGGAGTACGCCTCAGACGAGGAATTTGTTAAACTTCAAAATATGCTTGAAATAAATGAAGGTGAAAATGCAGGTACGTAATAAATTATTATATTCCTTAAGAACACGGAGAACCAAATTAATTAGTGTTAAACGTATAAATAAAAAAGGCTAAAAAAACTTTGTGGTAATACAGAAAAGTTAGCTGATTTAAGATTTTCTACCCCCGCAGTGGGCCAAATGTTTTAAATAAATTATTTTGCGATTTTTTCTCGGGTAAGTACTCTTTATAACTAGCGATAAGTGTACAAACTTTCGATTATATTTAAATTAAAACTGTTATTTATAATTTTTTTTAGTCTTTCGTTTGATTTTGCTAAATTATTTCAATTAAAATACCGATGATGTTGTAGAAATGGCATTTTTTAAAAGAAAATATAAAATTTCTAATACCAATATATTGAAAGGAACAAGCATCTATAAAATATCGCATTAATCGCGTTTTATAAATCAAAACAAAATTACTAAACTTTTATGTTTCCCTAATATATTATATCCTTATAATCTTTAAATGTGCTTCCCTAATAATAATTTTCAACATTTCTAGCAGTTCTTTCAAGTTTTCATCTCAAAGTAAACTATAATTTTGCTAATTTTATTTATTTTCAGTTTATATATATATACGCCAAAAACAAACTCATAACTGGACTAGATATACGGATTTAACTGTCGAACATAAAACCCAATTTTAATGATAAAACAATGACAAATCTTCATTCTTCTAATTAAATATTTTAGAAATAGTCCTCTAAGGGCTGTGACGATCACAATTACCTTAATGGATTTTATTTATAAAGTCGGGGCTCAGCCGAAGGAAAGTTGATTATTTAGGATTCCGTAGCCGAAAAATATTGGGAACCGCTGCCCTAAATGACCGACCTTTCATTCATTATTATGAACATATTAATAGCAAAAGATCATTCATTATTTTGAAAATATTTAATGATCTAAATTTTATTTATTAGTTTGATTGAAGAATCGTTTTATCAATATTAACCTTTTAATATTGGGTTTTTATGTCAGACATCTGAATACACAGATTTGGAGCGGCATTTCGTCTAGTTCTTCATTTGATTTTGGTGTATGCATAAATTGAGACTGAATGAGCTGAGACATGAATTCAGTTAAAATAAAAACAAAAAAGAACGAAAATAAGCGTTGAGAAGCATATTTCGTCAATGTTGAATTTGGGTATTTTTATTCTATGCGAAGTATTAAAGCAATTTCTAATAGATGCTTATACTTTTCCTTATTCATTAATTTTTATTAGAAAAACCATTCTTTAAAATTATCTTAAAAACAACATATTAAATTAATTAGGAATCATTAATCGGATATAAATTTAATTGCAGGTTTTGAAAATCAAAAATGATTAAAAAATATCCGTAACTCTTGAAACCTCTGTGACCCTTTCACGTAATATAATTTGGACACCACTTGCTAAAATGCTCACATAAAGCGAGACGGAAAAGAGACAAAACTGATAGTAATACCATTTAATTTTTAACTAATTTTCGGGAGGAATAAATCTTTTATTTTCTTCAAACTACTCAACAATACATATTTTTTTTTCTTGAAAAAAATCAGTTCTACCTGTATATAGGTGCTAAATTTGCAACAAAAAAAAAGTCTCGGTTGCAATAGAAATTTAATTCTTCTCGGAAAAAAAAATGCTAGAATGAATGACTTTCGTACTAGATTTTGCTCTTTACTATCATGCCGAAAGCCGTATATATAGGCTTTCAGTCCTGTTTGTATTGTTTGTTTAGATATCCCATATCTTAGCAGGAATATCTGCTAAGTATATATCTGCTTAGCAGGAATATCTGCGAAAATTATTATGACTTTTTCTGGGCTAATAACTTTCTACGCTTTTATTAAAACTTAATTCTAGTGGTAGCTACGATAATGTTATAATGTATTTTTTTTAATTCATTTAAACTTATTTTCTGTACCACTACATATAAATGATTTAAAAGCTCATACGCAACACCACTTTGATCTAGCTCTTTCTTCTGTAAATAGTTGTAAATACTTGTATATAATTTTTCACTCGATATTCACCTGGCAAATGTTGGCAAAATTATCAAAAGATCTGAAAGTTTTGGTTTTTAACCCCTTGCCAGTGTCACCCGAATCCAGTTCGGGCAACTACTACGTGCATTATTTGTGATACCAGAACTGATTTCGGGCAGGAGAAAAATTAACTTTTCTATTTTGTGAAGACCGAGCTGAGTTCGTTTCTACTTTAGGATTCTTAATTCACTATTTTTCTAATGCATTAGTGGTCCTAGCTCTTCACCGATTTCGACATCAGTCGAGGGAGGGAAAATGCGTGTGTTGTCAGCTGCTTCATTGCAAATATTTTTTGAAAAAAATTATGTATTGAAAATCATATTGTTGTATTTTTATATTATATTATACTAGTTATATTATATTTAGCCTCAAAATATTGTTTAATTTGCTGTAATTGAATAAGATGTGTGTGTAATCCATTACTATTTTATGTGTATGTAAAAATAATAAATACAGTAGCAATTGCATTTAACATTTTATTTTTCTAATAAAAAACATTTTCTAACTTTTATAATACTAATATAAAGAACAAAATAAATAGTCAAAAAAATTTTCAATTTTTGGTCCATTTTTCTGAAATTTATGTCAATGTTAAAGGGTCAAATGTCTATTACTTTATAAAATATTTCACAAAAAGCGTAGTAGTCTGGAGGCCTGCTTATTTTTTCTGCTGATTCAAATTGAACGAAGTTCGTATTGGTTAATTATGTGAGAGCTGTTATTTTGCTTGGTCGTTGAAAAAGATATTACTGAGAGGCAGGGATGCCAACTGCTCCGTTTTCTTAAAAATTCTTAGTAAATTGGTAGCGAATTGAAATGCAAAACTTGTAAAATAAGGATAATTGTTCCCACTCTTTAAAAAGTGTGATTTTTTAAACCACTTTCTAATTTAAAAGAGTAACCAAGAGATAACTTTGACTGAGATCAGTATGGTATACTGGGGTTACCTATTCAAAGACTGGTTCTTAGATGTATGTTTTCATACTTGAAGGCTTAGAGAAAGGTTTCTTAGTCACGATAGCTCTTTGAGAAAAGAACCAAGGCGAATGTCCTTGGAGACATCTGGGCTGCATTTTGATACCTCATCCGTAGACATGCAATGATACAATGGATTGCTGTTTTTCTGGTTCTGACATCTGCATTATTTTCCTTGATTACTTTCCGGTAGTAATTCAGAAATCGCCTATTGTTGTCCTCTATAAAATTTCCCTTCTTCTCTCCTCCTAAAGTAAGTTTTTTTAAACTTTACATTTTTTAACTTTTTCGGTGAAAACATTCCCACACCTTCTAGGTAGACGATTAATTTGTTCTTTTTTCTTCGTTTTTTTACAATTTTATATTCTTTATCATAAACATTCGAGGAATTTATGTGGTTATAAGTTTTGGAATCTCCATTAGAAAGCAAAAAGATGCATCGAAAATTAGATTGCTTGATTGAACGCTTCCACATTATTTCTGCAATGTGTTGTCAACAAAATTAAAAAAAAACGGATTTTCATTTTGTAAAGCATTTTGGTATTATCTTACAGAAATCTCTTAAATTATGTATAACAGCAGAGTGGCTACGGATACAAGAAGTACTGTCCAATAAAATTCAAAATGTAATTCAAGTAAATTAAAATTGGAAACTTCTTATAACGTTTTTTTCAGTTTACTATTAAACTACGTTTCTCTTCATATCTTTTAAATGATTGGTTTATTTCACAAACAGTAATAAAAGCCCAGCCTAAAGATAAATACGTAATATAATGTGGAAATTAGAGAAATTAAATAATTCACATTAATTAATTTGATAGTGATGAATTTTTTTTTTGAATTGTAAGGTATGAACATTTTAATGTATTCAGAATTTGAAGATTACTTTTCTAAATCTAAATTTTCACTACATTTGATCAATAAAAAAGTGCTAAAAAACTAATTTAAAAAAATAATTATTGAGAGCTACTGAAATTATACCCTATTTTGAGATTTCATCGTAAATTGCAGTACAACATAGAGGAGAGTTGCTTAAACCGTTCCTTTCTAAAGAAGATTGATTTGATTTCTACAGAAGCAATGAAAGCAGAATGCTCTAGCGGATGAACTTAGAAGCTTTTTTCACGTGGAGATGTAGGCAAAAAAATCAAGTCATGGTGTACACGCGTTACGTTTTAATTTAAGGTTTTTGGTTTTACCAATTTTCAATGCAATTTGTGAACATCCTGTGTAAGGATTTATAGCAAATCTAATGCTGTGAGCAAATCATCAAATGCATATGATAACTGTTAAACAATTATGTTCTCCTTGTTTCGTAGATAAGTATCTAAAATATAGGGAATCTGTTTTCTAAGTATAGTTGAATGCTGGGAATAACGCTTTGTTTAAAAAGTGACGTAGTTGCCCGAATTGTACCTCTTGTAGGTGCCGAAATCCTATCGGTATGATTCAGAATCCTATTCAAAGGTCCACATCTGTCATATAAGTTTAATATCTTTTAGTATTAGTTTAATTTATTCTCACAAATTTTAAAACAAAAAAAGTTGCATCATTTATATACGATGGAAATTCATGAAATAGAATAGCACTTTTGATTACTCATTTACTGAAATATAAATTGCCTACCTAGTTCTAATTTTTTTTAATGCCATTTGACTGGACCACCCAAAATCTAGATGCTTTGGAATTGATCTTAAATGTTGGATTAATTAGGTTACAGCTGTCAGGATAACGGACGCATGTACTCCAACCGCTGGACAAATGCTTTTTCAGGCCCTATTAAACTAAATTTTAATCAAGAAGTTGAAGAGTGAATGTAAAGTTATCCTGGCCTGATTATCACACAGTAACAATATTCGAATCTAGTGTCTGAGGCTTACAATAGTCCAGCAACTATTGGACATTCTATTCTAGGATTTAAATGTTCTAATGGGTGCCTTTGATCCATCAGTCTCCTTTTAATGTAACTGAGTTTTCGCATCTAAAATAATAATTATGAAGACTTATCAATCAGATCCAAGAGAGGAGCTTCCTCGTGATGCAAGTAATCATACATCTGGTAAGGATTTTACACAAAATTCTGCCACAAAGCCTTCATCCACTTCAAAAGTTTCAATTGAATCAATTTGAGCAGTATGACATTTGGTTTCGGGCGTTAATTTTGCATACTAAGTAGAATGCAACAATGTTTCTTTAGGAAAAGGACATTTTTTGTTGTTGTCAAAATAAGCATATTCCACCACGATTATACTTCATTCTTAATAACTGTTGTATCTAATTTAAGATATTTCTTTAAGATATAGCAATAACACTTTACAGAAAGGAAATCTGTCACTAAATCAAGCACTATAACGTACTTTCTATTAATAAACATGCTTTTTTTTCGATGGATTCAAATTTCTGACTCCCAAAATATAGTGGTTAGCTGCAATCAGGGAAATATGGTCCCAATAGTTTGGTCAGGAGAGCACTCCAAAGTTTTAACCCCTTAATGTTAATTTTACTTTTTACGTATTTCGCTATATCTCAAAACCGTATTAAGCGAATTGCATAATTTTTGAACACATTTTTCTTTTACAACTTGTTTATCCAAAGGTAATTCTATGCAAAAAATAACTTTCAGTAAACATTTATTATTTTATTTATGAATGGTCGAAAAAATTTTAAATTGTAAGGCGTGCAATTTTTTGCATATTTTTGATTTATTTTTGCATCACAATTTTTTTTTTGCATCGAAATATTTTTGGATAAATGAATTTTATAATTGTAATTAAAAATTTTCAATTCGTTTAAGTTCGCTAGATTTGGCGAAATGCGCAAAAAAATGACTACTTTGAGGTCAAACCATTGGATCGCTCTCCTAAAATCACTATGGGAACCATATTTCGAAGATTGCAGCTACTCCCTGAATTTTGAAAGTCAGAAATTAAAATCTCCATTGAAAATAAAGGTATGTTTAGATCGAGAAAAAGAATCATTTTGTGTCAGATTTCGTAACTTAAAATATTGTCTGCACTAATTAATCTGAATTTTTGAGGCTACTTCCTCGAACCATTACGATAGAGTCTTAGAACGTGAAGGTCCTAGAAGTATTACATGAAAAGTTATTTAGGATGGTCCGCTTTTCTGTTGTGCGATGTACATCTCCCTAATATTCAATGATCCAAAAATGTTATTTTGCCAGACATCTATATCATCCTATTTCCAAATTTTAAATCCTGGTGTTTCATGTACCAGACCTCATTAAGATACAGTACAGTCTTGGCAACATTTATTGAGTACTTGGCACTTAATTTTGGGTTCACCGAAGAGTTCGTTCGTTGTAGTGGAACTGGGCGCCTGTGGACTTACGGCTCATTTCCATGCATCCTGAAATTGGACTTAGAAACATACAAGACAAAAATAAAGTTTGGGACTCAAAATGGAGTTCGTGAGAGAAAAAGAAAATAAATTGGCCATTATTAGGTAATAACTAAAATACAAGTAATAAAAAAGTACATGAAAAAAGGTAACATTAAAATACAATGAGAAAATAAACACTAACGAATATTCACAGTTTGGGAATATATACAAAGGGGGGAACGAATTAAAGGAATGTGAGGATGTGTGTACATGTGAAGTAAGTGTGGCTCTGTTAAATTAATTACCACTCGTGCCGGGTTGCTCTCTTCACTTTAGTTACAAGGATTAGCTTACCCCTGATCAGAACCCGAGGGGTTCCACCGGAGAGTTCTGATTTATTTCACACTTATGTAAAATATGCTTTCATAAAAGAAAGTGTCAGGATATTTAGCCTTCAACTCAGCTATAATGTTGATGCCAACTTGCTCCGGACAGCGGATAAATAATTTCGAGGGGTAGTCTTTTTCAGTGTGAGTCGTGATTTAGTAAATTCGACTTATAGAGTTTACACACCACTGATTTCAAATAATTTAAGGGCTTTTGTGATACGCCACTTTAATACAATTAAGCCTATTTTATTTAATTATTATACTTTACTTATAAATTATAAATTTCCACCTTCAACTGTGCATCACCTGTGCTACATCCGCCAACAGCCTAATATATCTCCAACTTATCTATGCCAACAGTCCTAGTTACCCTAAGGCCAACATCAGATGATGGAGTGTAATGCCGGATGACACGGGCAGGTGCTCCATAAAAGCACCGTTCAAGTATAGTTAAGCCGTGTTGAGCCTTTTAACAATTGTCAAAAGTAACCGAAAATCTGCAAACTTTAACAAGTTTGTAAATCCCAACTGTTTTTTAAAATATTTTGTCGACTATGGGGTGGTTGGTACCTCTGGCAGACATAGTACAAATGAGCAAATACATACATATTGAAACATGTAATTCAAGTGGGCAGTGGAACTCAGCGGTACTTCTGATTTTAACAACATACTTTACCACATTTCGTATCTTTTGCATCTTTGCATAAAGGGCTCTTTCGCGAACAGGATTTTCTGGTAGACCTAATAAAGTTGATGGCCCAGCTTCTGTCAGGTGCAGTCAAAACATACACACAAATCAATTGAGTTTTTGTTAACCTTTTCTGCTGATCTCAGCAACAAACCTTTCTCTAGCTACCTTCCAGGCGATTTTCAAAGCATTTTCTTTAGTTTCCATTGTAGATTTTGATATTGAATCGAGACTGTTAGGGAATGTTTTTTTTTTTCATCCATACAGGGGGATTCCCATTACCTTTTAAACCAGATTGCGTTTTCCAAATGATAGAAACGAAATTCTAACAAGTTTTGTAATCATAATTAAGAAAAGTAAAAAATGTTGCAATTTGAAATTACCTTTAAACTTTACAGCTCGTTTCTTGTCAGGTCTATTTTAATGATTTAAATTGTCTATTGTCGAAGTGGTCAAAGTTGTTGTAAATCAGATCGACTAAATTAAAATTCATGTTTTAAAATACAACTTTTGTTGTCAAATATTTAAGTAGAAAAACAAGAAAAAATACTGCAGGGATGCCAACAGGTTCGATTTATGCAAAAGTTTTAATAAATTTGTCGTGAATTAACCCTTTGGAATCCGTTTTATTTAAATACCAGTCTAAGGAGAAACCGCTGAAGTAAAATCCGGTAGTAAGCTTTTAAATAAAGATTATTGTTTTTTTCAAAGTTTTTTTCGTCGATTAGTTAGCAAATAAAATTCAATACCTTCAAACATTTTCATTTTAACGATTGGGAAGTTATCGAAACATAGCAACATACCTTTGCCACCACTGTTTATTTATTCAAAATAAATGCATGGCGAATCTCACTCATCAAATGATGCCAATGGGTTAAATAGTGAAACATGTAAAATAAGGATAATTACTCCTATTCTTTAAAAGTGTCTAACTACAATACAATACAATGACATAACTACAAAAAGGTTGCATTTTATGGAAAACTACAGTATGAAATAACTACAATAGTAGTCCTAGTATTGTTCCGAGCCTGGGCACCTAAGCCTCGTATTTCATATCATTCTATTAATTTTTTATATGTAGTGATGAAAAAATTACTTATAATGAAAAATAATCAATTAAAAACAACTTGAAATTCCATGATAAAACATTTTTTAACAAAGCGGAGCAAGTTGACATCTCTGTTATACCTACTTTTTAAGATCAAAAATTTAAATCCGACGAAAAAACGGTATGTCTATTCAGAGAAAGTATGTTTTTATGTCTCATTTTGTAACTTATAGTATTGTCTGCTCTAATTAATTAGAATATTTTGGGTCTCCCTCTCAAACCATTGAGAATGAGACATGTAGGAATCTTATAGGGATAATCCATATAGGGATTCATCAAGCTTTACGATTTATTATAATAAATATTAAGTTTAATTACTAAAACCAATACATTCAGGATCAAATTAGTGTTATGTTAATTGATTTTTTATCATTTTCAATAGATTAAATGATGTTTCGTATGACTCGTCTTCACTAACTCAGGATCAAAGGCCTAATATGGAATAAAATATTTAAAAAAAAAACGAAACCTGGGTTTTATTAAGGTAACACTTTTATACTTACTCTATAGTAAGTAGTACTTCTTCTATACTGCGTAAACAATATTTCTTTTAGGAAAAAAAAAGATTTGAAACATTTTACAATGAATGCTAAACAATTTTCAGAATATGAAAGATTTTGCTAGAAGTTTTTAAAAATGATGATAGTTTAAATCATACAAATGTCAGAACTGGAAAAATGAGAAGAGTAAGTTAATAACAAAATGAATAGAAAACAAAGGAAAATTACAGACATATGAAAAAAGGGGGGTAAGAAAAATAATAATAAAAAAATAACAAACAACTGGGGGGGGGAGAAAAGGATAATTTTTTTTTAAAAAATCCGGAAAATAAACGATAAAATCTTTTCATCAGTTCACACGATTATGTTAGCAAAAAAGAGTGCTTTCTGATACTGTATCAATATAGCCAAAGCAAAATTTATCAATACAAAAGTGTGGGTATACAAATATATCAATACAATCGGATGATTTCTTGTAGAGTTATGACAAAAAACGCACTTGTTGCTTAAGTTTTGCACACCAGTATATATATATATATATATATATATATATATATCAATCNCTTGTCAAAAAAATGAACTTAAATATTGTAAGCATTTAGAAGATTTGTAATTAATAAGCATTAATTAAATAATCCGACAATATTTTGAAACTCCAAAACCGAAACTAACGGTAAGTCGAACTTCCGATATGTCGAAGTTTTTCGTCTGTCCTATCAGATTCGAGTTATAGCGAATTCACTGTATATATAAGTTCAAAATGTCGAGAAAGCATGGAAAAAATTGTTGCTAAACAATTAAAAAAAGGGGGGAAATTAATAATAATAATAATATATATATATAGATACAGAAACTTAGAAGCATTTTGTTCTTCTCATTTCTAGCAGCTGATGGCTGCAGTCCAAATCCATGTCAAAATAATCAGAGATGTGAAGCAAAATCAGGAGGTAAATTTAAATGCAGTTGCAAATTGCCATTCAAAGGAGATTTTTGCGAAAAATGTAAGTTTATTAAAATTAGTTGCTTATTAAAATGTTTGTTAAATATATGATGTTTTTAAAATATAAATTATTTAACAGCTCCTTGTAATCCAAATCCATGCAAAAATGACGGAAATTGCAGCATTTCTTTTCTTAGCGCAAAATGTAGTTGCATGCCGGGATATAAAGGAGACAAATGCACTGGAGGTAATTTATAGTTATTGTTTTGATTGGCAGAAATAGAACACCAAAAATTTTTTTCCTGCTGTTTTGAATTTAACTAGATATAATCGTTATATGTAATTATAAAAAGTAATACATTACACTAATATGTAATCAGTGTAATTTTAAACACTACGAAATATAAGTGTTAGAAATTATTTTAATGGCATATTAACTTATATATAATTGAAAAATGAAATAAATGTTGTTAAGTGAAATTTTTCATCATTTTCAACATAAATTATTCAAATAAGCACATATAAACTACGTATAAACGTTATTTGTTATCTTAATAGTAATACATTACACTAATATGTAATCAGTGTAATTTTAAGCACTATGAAATACAAGTGTTAGAAATTATTTTAATTACATATTAATTTATATATAATTGAAAGATGAAATAAATGTTGTTAAGTGAAATTCATCATCATTGTCAATATCAATTATGTAAATCAGCAAATGTAATTGTTTTTCATAATGGTTCAGGATTCACAGCTACCGGACAAAATAATCCGAACACTTTTATACTAACTGTATAAAATGTCAGCGATTTTTATTTAAACAACAAATGTTTTGGATGATGGCAAAATTACATTAATAATTTTACACTGTAAAACTGACTGTTAACGCATTTTCTCAAGTTCATACTTGAAAAATTGTAGAAATTGTGTTCTTTTTATCCATGCAAAATTTGCATCGGCAAAAATGAGATAAAAGCTTCTTTACTCTTTTTAATACCCATACAATTCAAAAAGCATTCTTGTCTAATTCTCGCAATTCTTTTGAATGATTTAAAATTTCTTGGCATCGAAGCTTAAAAGACCTATTAACTACATTTTCTCAATTTTTGTCGATCTGTATTTTTCATTGGTAAAAAGGATACCATTCTTTTAATTATGTGCCAACAGTTTTGCCTTGCAAAATCTTCTAAAACATTTACTGCAAAGAAGAAATAATAATAACAAATAAATTTATAGAAGTGACATTATTTTGTCCTGTACGTATAGCCTCTGCATAGAAATTATCACGTGACTCGTACAGATTGACGTGATTACATGCTTGAGTTCAAAGTAAACCAAAAAATGAGTTAGTTCATCTATATTATAAGTCAATAAAAATAACATTTAAGAGCACTCTTAAAATATTGATTTATTAATATATTTTATTGTTTATTGATAATGGTATTATTTTAATGAATAAGAAATATAAAATAAATGCAAAAAATTTATTGATGTGAAAATATTAAAAATTGAGTATTTCTTAAATAAACCTCTAAGCGCTAGAAAAAGAATCTGGTAGGAATGTTTCAAGTGATGTAAAATCTTAAACAATAACTTGACTCAAAAATAATTCAATAAATTTAAGGATATTATGAAATGTGTAATTTATGGACACGAGAGCTGGATGTTATGTTTAATCAAATTCAAAATAATCTTGCGCTTAAAACTATGTCTGACCTCACAAAGGTATAATGTCATTAAAGACCTCTGTAGTACTAGACCTTGCATTTAATAGAAGAGATATCCAATAGTGTGTTGGTTAAAAATATCATTGTATCTTAAAACTTTCAGCATTAGTGCAGAAAAGGTTTTCTCTAACATCATTAAGAAGCATGTAAAAGCTGTTGCACGGAATTAATATTTTCTACTGTATTAAGAAACCAAAATTAGATCATGTCAGTAAAACTGGCAAGTTTACTGATATTAACAAAAATTTAACCGGAATGGATTAAAAATTGTCACGCCTTCCATACCATTTGGTTACATCATGCTATATGTATCGATTTAAATTACTTCTATACAGAGGAAGAAAAATTTCTTTTATATTTAATTTATTAAAATATTAATGTATTAATATTTTAACTATATATTATTCTTCTATTAATATTATTCTTACTACCAGTAATCAAAATATTTTCTGAAAGTACGGAATAATCTTATTAGTTGAAGTTTCTGGTTAAAAATATAAAGCATACATGATAAAAGTATTTCTTTTAAATATTAATAAGGTTAATCTATTTAGTTTATCCTAAAATAATTTTCATAATATGCATTATATATGTTAAGGCTAAAGTAACAAATCCGGTTATTATTTATAGTGACCGGTCAATATTAAAAGTAACGGCTTCTTTTGGTCAAAGGGAGAAATATCACACATTATTCACTATAACCATTTATTATTAAATGGTTATTATTAATCATAACCAATTAAATTTGGTCAATGGGATTAAACGCTTAATACAGCATAATTTATACATTTGTGTGACTCTTTGTATATGTGTTACGGTTGAAGTGATAAATTTGGATATTATTAATACTAACCGGTCATTATTAACAATAACTTCTTCTCTTGATTAGAGTGAGAAATAAAAACGGGCGATTTCCTTATCGTGATCTGCGGCAGAATAATCGCCAAGTCTTTGCTGACAACTTCCGGGTAGCAGCCCGTGAGAAAAAAAAATAAAACAAAAATAACATCACATAAAGAGACCAACTCGAAAGGTATAAATCATAGCTCCTACCCCAGGCAAACATCTACATGTCCCTTTTTTAAATTTTTTTTTACTAATTTTTCCAGTTTAAAATCAATTTGACGCTATAGCGATTATAGTTGGCGTGGCTGATCGTGATGCGGAAATATCTCAAATAAAGACGCGAAAGAATGACATTGACTGAACTTCATTGGTTATTATTAATAATAAGCGGTTAATGTGATACATTTGCTTGAATTATTCACTTTAATTGGCTTATTTGGTTATTATTAATATTACCCGATTAGTATTAATAATAACCGACTATTCACATTGACCGGAACATATATACCAACTACGGGTAGTGAATTTATATTCACTGCGGGTACAGTATTCACTACGGGTAGTGAATACTGTAACGTAACTTATAGCGAAAGAAATTCTTCAAAGTTTAATCAGAATCATCTGTTTTACGGGTATTCTTTCTTGTTTCTCTCCAGCTGAATGTAATAGCACTGTCTGTAAAAATGGTGGTACCTGTAAAGTGGTAAACAACAAGATCAGCTGCGGTTGTGTTTCTTCCTACAGTGGTCCTTACTGTGAAACTAAAAAAGGTAAATCGCATCTCGTAAAATTTTTTTTAAATGCAAGTAAGCAACAGTCAAATATAATTAAATAGCCTAAAAAGTAAGTATGACTTAAGTAATTCTTATGAATTTCATCCTTTTTTAACTGGAAGAAATGTTTTACTGTTAAATAACAGAATGGAATTAAGGTATTAAACAATGACGATGTGAATGACATATGATGTTTTCTTTCATTCAATGAGTTTTCAGATAATAAATAAATTCTTTCGCAATTTATCTGGTAAATATTGCACACCTAAATCGAAATAGTTTTATGTCAAAAATTATTATCTGCATTTTGTTTTGTCGTGTCTCATAGGCGACACAATTAAACTCGGTTGAATTGCTTTCATACAGCGCACCATTAAAACAATAGACTACGTCTTTTCATCATATGAAGTCTTACTTTTACTCTTAGGATGATGCTCAAAAATATGTTCTTGTACATAGAAGAGTAAAATATATAAATTATATGTAAAATACATACTTTATTAACTTAGATGAGTAATGATTTCGAAGCAAGCAGTTAGTCAATGCAAAAGAAATGCTATCAGTATAAACGATCTCTTACTTCAAATATACTATGTAGAGATCACTATAGCTTTGAAGCTTAAAGATATGTAACGATTTCCATACAAGCAGTCAGTCAATGCAAACGAAATGTAAACAGGATAAATGATTTATTACTTCAAATATTCTATATAGAGATCAGTATAGCTTTGAAGGTTAGAGATGGGTAACGATTTCCATGCAAGCATCAGTTAGTCAAAGCAAAAGAAATGTTATCAGGATGAGAAAATAATCTCAAAATCCACGCACTTGAGATTGCGAATCATACTCCCAATTTTTTTGTAAAATGTACATGAATTAAACCAAATATTGTACAGTGCGCCAAAAAAAAGAAAGAAAAACGGATTACTCTGATTAACTTTTTGTCTGATAAGAGGTTCTTCACGTTCTAGGATTCAACTTTAATGATTCTAGGGTGTGACTTCGTATATGCTAATTAATTAGTGCAGACTATATTTAAGTTACGAAATAAGACTCAAAATGTGTACTTTCTCTGAATAGACATGCACTTTTTTATGAATTCGGATTTCATAGCGGCACTGTGGGACATATTGTCCCAGTAGTTTGGTCAGGAGAGCGATGCAAAGTTAGAACATCATAATGCTAATTTTGTCTCTGCGTATTTCGTCATATCTCTGTAACTTTTTAAGCGAATCGAACAATTTGCATGGAATTAATTATCCTTGGATAAGCAAGTTTTGTAGTTGCGTGCAAAAGCCTTTAATTAACTCAAACATTTCTCGAGATTTAGTGAAATAGCAGATTTAGTGCAAAATAGAGGTCTAAACATTCAACCACTCTCCTGAGTGAATTAATTGGGACGATAATTTTCAGATAGCGGATCCCACCTCTCATATATCGAAAAAGGGTATATTTATTCAGAGATAGCAAGTTTTTTTTCTGGTTACGTATATCGTCTGCACTAATTGCATAATTGAGGTCATTCCTTTAATTCATTTAGGTTGTGTCCTGGAATGTGAAGGCTCGACCCTAGATCAAAAAATTTCGGGATGCTTTTTCGCACTGTTCAGTGCACAAAATAATGGCAATTGAAAGGAACATTATTCTATTATCGTGTGCTACAAGTTTTTAGCAGAAGAAGAAAAAAGTTGAAAATATTCGAATTTTACGAAATAATTATCGAATATAAGTGGGTCATCAAACCGTTATGAAATTGTCTGTAGTTTTCAACTGTATGAACGTTTTTAAAGTAACTTTAAAGAAAAAAAAAACATAGCAATGTATATTAGGCAAATCAACGAAGAAGAAATAAGTAAAAAAATAGCAACAAAAATGGTCCTAAACAGCGCATGGAAATAAGTAAGCCAGGCAGGTTTGTAAATAAATTCAACGATGTATTGTAAATTATCGATGTTTTTCAATAATCACGATAACAATATTAAAAATATATTCCTACAATATCTCGTGAATACGACATATATGAAAATATATCGGCAGGCGATAAATATTGACATACGACAAAACCGAAAATACTGACACTCTGTAAATATCGAAAATACCATCATTTCATAAATAATGAAAAATACCGATACTCGTTAAACACCGAAAAATACAGGCAATCTTATAAACACTGAAAAATACCAATACTAGAGAAATACCGAACATATCTTGACCCAATGAATTTCACTTCCTTGCAGAAGGAAGAAGAGAATCTTTAACTTTCACACAGTGTTTCACTTGTCAATGTTTGCTTGGCATTATTTCTTTTGTTGGCTGTACAATCATTATATTGGCCGATTTTACTCTTCTAAAATCTTTAGAACAGAACAGAAAAAGAAGTTTAATAAGTTAAGAAGTCATTAAGCTTATTGAAAAATTAGTTATTTCTTGGAATTGTTCATTTATATTTCGAATTCATTTCAATGAATAATTTTACTTACTTGATAAGCTTTTAGAAGAAATTACTAATTTATTTAGTGAGAAAAAAAATTGAGTTTTACATTTTAATGGTGGCACAT